ATGGGGGAGGGGAGGGTGACTCGATATGAATGGTCTTGGAAGGGGAGGTCGGGTATCTCGGAATCGTTGGCCGCGTAGATAACAATGAATTCCGCGTTCCTCTATATATGGCGGTAGGGAGACTCCATCGGTATTGGACGTTGTCTGCAGGGAGCGGTGGATGGTCGGAGGTCATTATAGAGTCCAGCGGAGGATCTTCTGGGTGGAAGTCTCTGTGATGATTGTTGGCCTCCTCGGATCTCACCATTGGAGGATGATTTGGGGGAATTCCCCCCTCAGTGATCGGGGGAAGCGCTGGGACGACGCTCGGGAGGTCTTCTCGTTCCTCTTCCTCGGCTGCCGGTTTCCGGGATGGAACTCGATGGGCTTTGTTGTCTTTGGAATGATCTCTGTAACCAGAAGTCTCCGTATTGCAGGATGACCTCCTCTGCCCGGCCTCTGACCGACGTGGACTTCTGTTCCGGTTCTCGTATAGAAGAGATCAACAAACTCCTGGAGGAGCTGGAGAGGAGGGAGAGCGGCACCCTGCATGGCAGAGAGGTCCTGCAGAGCTGCGTGCAGGCCAAGGACCTCATCTTCTCCTTAGTGGGTAGGTGGCTTATCACCGGGGGAGGGAACTGAACTCAAAAAGATGGAGGGAACATCTAGAAATGTCCATTGTGCTGCAGTCGTACCCTGAAAAATCTTCCTTATATGTGGAATTTCTCCTGATAATAGCAGTGCACTTCCTGTGCCCAGGAATTCCTCGTGAGTTTACTTCCTGTGCCTAGGAACTCCGCGTGAGTTTACTTCCTGTGCCCAGGAATTCCTTGTGAGTTTACTTCCTGTGCCTAGGAATTCCTCGTGAGTTTACTTCCTGTGCCTAGGAACTCCGCGTGAGTTTACTTCCTGTGCCCAGGAATTCCTTGTGAGTTTACTTCCTGTGCCTAGGAATTCCTCGTGAGTTTACTTCCTGTGCCCAGGAATTCCTCGTGAGTTTACTTCCTGTGCCTAGGAACTCCGCGTGAGTTTACTTCCTGTGCCCAGGAATTCCTTGTGAGTTTACTTCCTGTGCCTAGGTATTCCTGATATCAGCGCACTTCCTGTGACATATGTTGAGTATTAAATATCTGCTCCCTGGTCTAACAGAGTCTGGCAGGGGGGAAGTCTTCCAGCGCCGACTTCCTAATTGGCTCTGAGATGTCATATGATCAAATGCCAAGAGCCGAAAAGGAAGCTGGTGAGAGAGGATGTCACAATGTCCTTTAAGAACACCCACTTTTCACCATGAGCTTCAATCACTGCGGCACCACGGAGCATGGCCACCAGTCACTGCGGCACCACGGAGCATGGCCACCAGTCACTGCGGCACCACGGAACATGGCCACCAGTCACTGCGGCACCACGGAGCATGGCCACCAGTCACTGCGGCACCACGGAGCATGGCCACCAGTCACTGCGGCACCACGGAGCATGGCCACCAGTCACTGCGGCACCACGGAGCATGGCCACCAGTCACTGCGGCACCACGGAGCATGGCCACCAGTCACTGCGGCACCACGGAGCATGGCCACCAGTCACTGCGGCACCACGGAGCATGGCCACCAGTCACTGCGGCACCACGGAGCATGGCCACCAGTCACTGCACACCAGTCACTGCGGCTCCCTGGAGCGTGGCCACCAGTCACTGCGGCTCCCTGGAGCGTGGCCACCAGTCACTGCGGCTCCCTGGAGCGTGGCCACCAGTCACTGCGGCTCCCTGGAGCGTGGCCACCAGTCACTGCGGCTCCCTGGAGCGTGGCCACCAGTCACTGCGGCTCCCTGGAGCGTGGCCACCAGTCACTGCGGCTCCCTGGAGCGTGGCCACCAGTCACTGCGGCTCCCTGGAGCGTGGCCACCAGTCACTGCGGCTCCCTGGAGCGTGGCCACCAGTCACTGCGGCTCCCTGGAGCGTGGCCACCAGTCACTGCGGCTCCCTGGAGCGTGGCCACCAGTCACTGCGGCTCCCTGGAGCGTGGCCACCAGTCACTGCGGCTCCCTGGAGCGTGGCCACCAGTCACTGCGGCTCCCTGGAGCGTGGCCACCAGTCACTGCGGCTCCCTGGAGCGTGGCCACCAGTCACTGCGGCTCCCTGGAGCGTGGCCACCAGTCACTGCGGCTCCCTGGAGCGTGGCCACCAGTCACTGCGGCTCCCTGGAGCGTGGCCACCAGTCACTGCGGCTCCCTGGAGCGTGGCCACCAGTCACTGCGGCTCCCTGGAGCGTGGCCACCAGTCACTGCGGCTCCCTGGAGCGTGGCCACCAGTCACTGCGGCTCCCTGGAGCGTGGCCACCAGTCACTGCGGCTCCCTGGAGCGTGGCCACCAGTCACTGCGGCTCCCTGGAGCGTGGCCACCAGTCACTGCGGCACCACGAAGCATGGCCACCAGTCACTGCGGCACCCAGGAGCATGGCCACCAGTCACTGCGGCACCCTGGAGCATGGCCACCAGTCACTGCGGCACCCTGGAGCATGGCCACCAGTCACTGCGGCACCATGGAGCGTGGCCACCAGTCACTGCGGCACCACGGAGCATGGCTACCAGTCACTGCGGCTCCATGTAGCATGGCCACCAGTCACTGCGGCACCACAGACCTGGCCACCAGTCACTGCGGCTCCCTGAAACGCTTTGTATGATAAACTTTCTTTAGCCTCCATAGATCTGTCCCTATCATGGGAGGAATAGTCGGTTGTGTTTGCCCCTCCAGACAAAGGTTCCCAATCCTCCCCTTATGTCCCGGGCCCCGTTTCCTCCTGACTGCCTCCGGAGTCGTACTGCAATTTGCATATTCTCATTGGGAAAGACCGTAACCATGGAAACCATTGTAATATATGTTTTGTGTTTTCTTTCTCCAGGTCAGATTCGTCCTCTGCCATCTTCGAATGCCTTCCTTCTCCTGTCTGGCGGGCTGTGTTCTGGACTTCTTGATGTTTCCCCCACCGATTTAGGGACTTCCTCCCCCTTCATTTCATATTCCATCTCCTACACGCTCCTAGTCCCCATCCTCCGTCTCCCATCCCCTGACGTCTTGTCGCAGCCTTGTCCATGCCACTACCTCGTTCCTAGGTCCCTCTGGGAGCCTCCACCCCCAGAGCTGACTTCTGACGCTGAACATCTCACACCACATTCCATTGCTCAATGGTTCCTTCCTTCTCTCCTCTCTGCGGTCTCCAGCCTGTCCCATTCCTTCCTTCCCCTGATTCTGGAGAGGGCCGAGCAATGGGGTAACTGTGCCTCCATCCTGCTGTCGGAACCGAGTGGTCTCCTCATTCGCTTTGATGTTGTCCCTGTAGTAGAGGTCCAGGGTTGGCCCTCTGGGGCTCAGCATCTAGATGACTGGGTGAATGAAGATGGAATCCCACCTAAGGTATTCCATCTTCTTCCTTGGGGAGCTGAGGGACAGTGGCGGGTGGGCTTCCCAGGGGTTGAGCTGTACATGCGACGATACATACACCCAACACTGTCCAGGGTGCTGAGAGCCTCTATGGCAGTGTTGGGTCCAATACTTCAAAAGCATGGAGGTCCAGGTCCATATGTATTATGGATCACCCTCATACATGCCTGTGAGAGGCTCCCACAAGCGTTCCTGTGCCAAGGGCAGAATGCGGCCTTATGTTTTCTCGGCCTCCTGGAGGAGCTTTCCCTCTCCTTCCTTCGAGGATCATGTCCAAACCCATTCCTGCCGGGATGTGATCTGCTCTTGGGCTCCACCCAGGGCCACTACCTTGCCCGGAAAGTGTCTGAGGTAAGGGCCCAACCAGTGTACTTTCTCCGTGAGGTGGTGAGGGAAGCCAAGGAGGTGGTGAGAGGGGAGAAGATGGAGAAGGAGGATGTTGAGGAGGAGAAGGAGGAGAGAAGTTCCAGCTGTTACCCCAGCTAGGGTAACGAAATCCTCAAATAGATTTATTTTGAATATTAATGGCCTGCTAGGAAAATGCAATTCTGACCAACCATACCTCAAGTGAGATTATGAGGCACGCCCCTATTTTAATGAGCAGATGACAGTGGGTGTGGCCTGCCTAAATGAAGAGTGTGACTGGCTGCAGATAGGTGAGTCCAGGCCTAACTGGGCTTTGATCTTTTGCTTTTGAAACGTGAAGGTACCATGAGCACACAGCAATAGTCTGCAGGAGCATGAGGCAGCTCAGCAATACTCTGCAGAGAAAAGTTTACTCCACCAATGCTCTGTAAGCTCGGGGAGTGCGGGGGATGTTCTTCAGAGGTCAAGGCATTGGCGATGCTCTGCAGAGCGCAGGAGTACCGCAACAACCAAGGTTAATGGCTTAGTAACGAGATGCTCTGCAGACCATTTTAATAACATTGCAGTGCATATAAAATATTCCTCCCTTAACCCTTCAACCTCCCAGTTCTTGCCGCTCCATTACCGCTCTTCTTCCCCACATAGTCCTCATTAACCCCCTACGTCCCTGCAGAGCATTGTCCACTCAGGCCTTTCTTTTTAACCAGTGTAATTAACCCCTCGCCCTCCAGTCCCTGCAGAGCATCTTTTCCCTGCCTTGTCTTTGTTATGATGACATCATAAACTGTGATCTGTTAAGAGTGTTGCAGGGCGGCGTTGCGTTGTACATGATGGATTCGCCTCACGTCCCGTACAGGGCGTCCCTCCCTTTAATTCTGATCAATTTTCTGATTAGCTCAGTGGCTGGCGGCTGCGTGTGTGTGTGTATATATTATATCAATAACCTGCTGGCAGCACACCGAGAGCGATGTCACCCCCCCCCC